CTCCTTACTTGGTTGCCATTAGAAGTTCCAGTGGGCTGACCTCTCATGTCCCACTAAATTGCTGCAAGAGAGCCATCTTAAAGGCTGGTCAGGTCCTTGCTTCCTCCCATGATTCAGTTCATTGGTACTAATGGAGAGTCTCCCCCTCCATGCATAACCCTGTCGCCGAGACTTTGTGTTTGTCAAGGATTTGGTTGAAGGTAAAGTAACATCCACTATAAAAAACACATCCATAGGGGTCCTTGCCAGAGAAGATTGGTAGTTCAAGTTTTCGACCCCCTCATTCGAGACGGTTTCCTCCATTGCCATCGTGAAACCATCCTTCTCCACCGAGGTTCCACCTTTCACCTCCTTGGTTTCCCCTTTGGGCTTTGCTTAAAAGTCCACAATCACCATGGGGATTAGGCCCTATACGTCCTCTTCCTTCTCCGCCTAAGCCCTCAACCAAATTCGTTATGCGTTCTTTTTCTTCCTCATCCTTCTTTTGCATCCAGTTTTGAACATCCATCAAGATTTCTCTCATGGCATTCATCGCCTCTATTATCCTACCCACATCTCTCTGAGCCACTGTCATGTCCTTCTCCACATTCTCAACTCTATTCTCCATCCTAGTACCAACCAGACCCCAACAAATTGCCCCATTCGCGGCGGTTTCCTCCATCGCCATCGTGAAACCATCCTTCTCCATCAAGGTTCCACCTTTCACCTCCTTGGTTTCACCTTTGGGTTCCGCCTAAAAGTCCACAATCACCGTGAGGATCAGGCCCTATACATCCTCTTCCTTCTCCACCTGAGCCCTCAACCAGATTCGTTCTGCGTTCTTTTTCTTCCTCATCCTTCTTTTGCATCCAGTTTTGAACATCCATCAAGATCTCTCTCATGATATTCATCGTCTATGTTATCCTACCTAGATATCTCTGAACCACTGCCATGTCCTTCTCCACATTCTCAACTCTATTCTCCATCCTAGTACCAACCAAACCCCAACAAATTGCCTTGCTCTAATACCAGTTGATGAATACTGGCTTTTGTAAATTAATCCAACTCATTTCCTCTCTCACACTCAACAACTCAACACGCATAATGACCCATTAAATTAATCAATCAAGCAATAACAAGAATAAAAATGGAACAAACCAAAAAAAAAAAAAAAAATGATAGATTATATTGATACTCAATAGAACAGTAGTTCATCAAAAAAAGGAACAAATAATTACAGACCCAAAAGCAAGATAACAGCTAGACTTCGAGGGCAGTACCTCCAAACACTATTCACCCAAAAAATATAGAATGGTCTCTACACCTCACGTCTCTCATTTTTATTACTGACACACTTAGATTCCTTGTAACTAACTCTGCCAACTGTTGCTTTTAGTAATTCCCTTTTCTGCCGTTTCCTCTTTTGTATTGTTGAGATACCACGGGTCCATCAGCAGGCTGTGTCAAGAGACAAGAAACTTGTTTGAAACGACATCAAATTGGCCACAGATGTACCATGCAACAACAGTAACATTAGTCGCACCATCCAATAGAGGAGTAAAATCAGCTGTGGAGTATGCAAGAGCAAAAATATTATGCTCTGTTTGGTTTACTCTTTAAAATAATATTCTACTTTTCCCAATAAAGTTAAACAGTGAAGTATGCCTTTAGTTCACATATTCAATTTAAAACAATTCAAAATACTACTCATTCTACTTTTTGACCGTTTGTGTGTAGTCTTTTTCAATAACTTTTTCTAACTACTGACATTTATTCCTTCTTCTTCTCCTTATTCACTCTTCACCTACTCTTCACCAGAATACACCTGTGGCCGTGTATCCCTTCCTCTCTCTCTGTCCATCAACCAAGCACAAAGCACCCATTTTCTTCTCTTCTTCACTCAAAAGGCTTCCTGCACTTTTTTCTCTTACACCTTCAAACACCATTTTTCCTTCTTCACTTAAAGTTTCAGACCCATAGAAAAAATTTCTCCGTTGCGATCTCTCTCTCTCTCCCTCCTTCTAGCAACAAAGCAATCTGCACTGATTGTGGACTCTTCCTCACAACTTCATCACTCCTGTGAAGGCCACCTTAGTTCTCTTTTGTGCGCTCTCTCTCCTTCCATCAAGAACCCTCCTGCAATCATTTTCGTTTTAGATCCAGATATAACTGAGGTCAATCGGCTAATATCTCTCTAATTTCGTCATTAACATCTCAAAATCCGACGCACATACGTAAGCCCATTAACCCTTTGTTTGTATTTTTTTTTTTTTCTTTCATTTTTCCTTAGTATTTTTGCTATATACTTGAACACTACCTACATACCCATATAACGGCAGCCTTTTGCTTCAGCATTTAAATGAATTTGTAATGCTATCTTGCAAAAACCAAGTAAAAAATATTAATATTTGATTCTATTTTAATCACTTATATGAAGGTGTCTTCATTCTGAGATATGCAATCAAACAAGAATAGGCCATAAATTATATTTTACATTGCAATTGAAAATGACTAAGTTTTTACTTGTTTTTATATTTAGGAAAGAGTTAATTACAAAAGTTATCTAGGTTGAGTTAAGATTAACCAAAATGGAGCATCTTTAATTCGGCACTAACCGTTCGTTTTCCATCTTTGGTATCATCTTTAACTTGTTAACTAATCTTTAATTTTTTTTTATTTTTTTATTTTTTATTTTTGGATATTTTTTCACAATCACATCTCTTCGTCAAGATGCTCTCTTAATTCTTATTAAATGCTTAACCAATGAGATTACTTATGGATTAATGTTTCTAGGAAACTCATGCATATTATCCTGTCCTTCTGCAGATTCATTACGAAGTGAATCAGAAGATTGCACATAGAAAATTGAGAAGACGGTGGTTGAAATAAAGATTGTAGGATAAGACAACTAGATGGCAACCAAGGCAATTTAAGTTCATATTGTTAAATACAACTATTAGAATCAAGGATATACAGAAAGTTGAAGCCTTAATTAAAGTCCACTTATAGGCCACATTTGTATGCAACTAGTTAATTTGTAATGTATTAGGGTGATTTACAATTACCAATAAGCTTCTATTGTACTGTTGTCACATGATTTGGGGATTATGAAATTATTTGTCTAACTTATGTATTAATCATTTTGTAGGTTGACAACTCCAAGTTGATCATAATAGCTACTTATGATGCTATGAACAAATGTACATGTCACTTAGCCCCATCGAAGCAGAATTGATTATTACTTTCGACAGAGGAGGAAGTTTTGACGTTTTTCCGCAATTAGGGTACACCAATGACCTTGTTGATCTACTTTGACTGTAGTGTCCCCCGTACTTACCGTTGAAAGCAGTGTTGGGTCAAACAAGATAATATTTTCTCTCTATTTTGTTTATAATGTTGTATGTAGCATATGTTTATGTTGATATGCTTGCTGATTGTTACAATGTTTCAATCTTGGTTGTTGTTCCCACCCTACTGTTATTAGATGAGTGAGTCCGTTCAATGGACCGCTAAAATCACCCATAAGTTTTTAGAACCATTGGCTGAGCGGGCGAAAACTGCCCATGGTACTTCAATAAAATCTTCTGACCATAGGAGGATTAGTGAACAATTATGAAATGTAGCGAACAAGAAATTGGAAGTGTCACAATTGTCTTCTAAGTACTTTCGCTTGCGATTGACATACTACTCTTGGCGTGGGCTAATGCAACATAGGGGGTTTGGTTGGGATCATGAGTCCCAAACTTCAACATGTTCTAAAGAGATTTGGGAAGAATATGTAAAAGGAAACAACATTTTTTTTTTTCAATTCTTATAACACAATAGTCAGTATGCATTTTTTTTTTTTTTTTTGGAAAATATGAATTAATTTATGTCTGTTTTCATTAACAACAAAACCCTGGGGCACAACAGTTCCTACATAAGGGACTTGTTGATAGAGAGTTATATAAGGTCATATTCGAGAATCAAAATGCAACTGGCAGATTTGCTGACACATCTGCGTCTCAACCTACAGCATCTAACATGGGTTTTCCTAATCCTATCGAGGCGGACATGGATCAAGATGACTTCGAACCTGATCCAGATAGATCAACTGGGGAAAAACGATCTAATAGGTCTAGATCTATCTGTAAATAGAAAGAGGAAGAGAGATGTGCAGGGAAACCCACTAGTGGGTGTGATTGGTTTGTTGGCAAAAGCTATTTCCAATAGGACTATAGGATCTGCAGCATCAAATCGCAGTGCCAATGATGGAACCCAAGAAAACGCAAGTGTTTGGACGGATCAATATTCCCTGGAAAATTGTCAGGCAATTTTGGAAAGCATGCAACTTCCACCCCAATTATATATGGATGTTGTGAAGTACTTAATTGCCAACCCAGAGTGATGTCGGCTAATGGTGAATATGTCACTGGAGATAAGGGAATTTTGGGTTTATAATGACTTCCATAGTATGTAGATGACGGTGTTTGACTTCCTTGTTGAACTTGTATTTTTCACTTGTTAGTCTTTATTTATTCCTTTGACATTTGAGATATTTTATATTCACTTCCTTCATATTAAAGACTTAACTTGCTTTGTTATAAGAACCGATACACCATGTGTTGTTGTGCAATGTTTCATATATGTTGGATATGGTCAATTAATTTTAAAATTGAATGTTATTTATACTTTGGTTAGTATAAAAAAAAGTATGGACTAATGAACAAATTGTTACAAATGGACAGGTATAGATGGCATCGTCTATCGACACAAACCATAACCGAGATAATGAAAGTCAAGAAGTAGAGTTATATGTACATGCTCAGCCGCATTGTGTGGGGCTATTGCGTATGAAACTGACTTCAGTATGCAAGGACGCCAACCTAGATATACATCTGCATTAAATGGTTGCAATTATACGGTGGAACTACTAAATGGTCATCCTACAAGAATATACAATAAGTGTCGCACGGGCAAACGATGTTTTCAGACCTTATGTTATATTGGCACAACAAGGCAAAGTGTGAGTAACCAGGCACATGAGTATTAAAGAGCAAGTAATGATAGTTTTTACAACAGGTGGGAAAAACGCGTCAAATAGTGATTGTATGGAGGATTACCAACATTCCGATGAGACAGTCTCTAGATATGTCCATGTAGTTTGTGAAGCGATATTGGAGTTGAAGTTAGATTTTATCAAGCCACCTAACTTCAATGATGTTCCATTAGAGATATTGACCAACCCAAACTATTACCCATTCTTTAAGGTGCTTAATTATTTTTAATTAGTTGTTAGTTAAGTTCATTGTTTTATAAATGTTGTTAGTCTTCACATATTATTAAAATGCAATTTTGTCAACAAGACTGTATTGGAGCAATTGACGATACACATGTACATGCGTGGGCACCATCTGAGGTAGTCGATACGTACGGAAATCGTAAAGGGACATTGTCGCAGAATGTGATGGTCGTCTGTGACTTCAATATGTTGTTCATATACGTCATCACCGGTTGGGAAGGATCTGCCCATGACACACGAATTTTAAATTCAATTCTAGATAATCATGATTCGGGTTTCCCACATCCTCCTCCAGGTGTAACTAACTTCTTTACGTATTCTAGCTAAACTGTGAACATTTTTTTAAGATTTGCAAATAACATTCAGTATTTCATTATAGGCAAATATTACTTAGTAGACGCGAGTTATGTGAACAAAGGTGGGTTCCTCGCCCCACATAGACGGTTTCCTTACCATGTTCCCGATGTGCGTCGTAACCTTTCTCGACCCCTACAGTTGTTTAATTACAGACATGCATCGTTTTGGAATGTTGTGGAGAGGACCTTTGGTGTTTTGAAAAAAAGGTTCTACATTCTTGATGGCATGAACAATTACCCGTTGGAGAAGCAAGCTAAAATTGCTATGGCATTTTGTGTAATTCATAATTTTATCAGGAGGTTCAATAAGAACGATCCTATCTTCCAAAAGATTAATGCTGATGGAGTTTATGAGGAAGGGAATGGGGCGGGTTCGAATCAACTAACTCAGCGTAATATAGACGACATGGGAACTTTGAGGGATAACATAACTAGTGCTACGTGGGCAGAACATGAGTCCATCTCATAATTGTAATTGAATATAAGGGTACGAAGGATTCTGAGGGATGATTATTAGTAGCTTCGTATTATTAATTTAGATATGTATTAATGCCGTGTTTTTAAATAATATATTAGTAGTTGAAATTATTATGGAGAATTTGTTTTTAATTTAGTGATAAAAAAAAAAAAAAAAACTACCAAACAACTAATTAATATTATTTAAACGTAAGTTGAAAAGTTCAATAAATCAAATAATAAATTTTTTTAATAAAATGTATCAAAATATTCTATCTTAAAATCCTTTTTGAAAATTATACCAAACAATTATTCAGTAATTTATTTAACTTTAATATAATATTCAAATAATGTACCAAATACATATTCGAATTCAAATCCTATTCTATTAAATACAACTCAACTTTTTTCAAAAGACTATTTTAAAAAGTGTCAAAATAGTGAATCAAACGAAACCTTAATAATAAAGGCTCCGTTTGGTACATAAATTTAAAATACTATTATAGTTTTTCCAATAAAGTTAAATACAAAAATGCATTTGTTTCAATATTTTCAAAATCTTATTCTACTTTATTCATCTCACAAAACATTAATAATTATATTTCTCGTAAAAATAATCCAATTTTACTATTTTTTTTTTTCAATAATGAATCAAATGATGCCAAAGATATCAGGATCTTTTTGACAATAAAAGCAAGAGATTCCAGTAGAAAAGGAAACTCCAATAACAAGATTCTTGAGTTGAATAGATCACGACATGTACGGTTTAGACTTCGTAACCATTCTTCGTTTTACCGGGAGTCAAGGTATCTACAACTTCCCCCAAATTGTTTATCAAATTATAGAAAGGAAAAGTGAGCTATCCTTACTTCTAACTCAGATTCATATTGTACTTTAATATTCCCCCTTGTATTTTACAGTTTACCTATTCATTCTTGTCCTTTTTATTCCATAAAAATAAAGAGTAATGCTACCCTTACTCCCCCTTCTTACTCCTTTCTCTTACTCACTCATATGATAGGTGGGTGTAAAAAGAGAGAGAAGGGGGAGTAAAGCTAGCATTATTAAAAAATAAAGGCTTTCCTTCTCCTTCCTTGGAATGAACACATGCCCTGTCAATACTTTTGGCCACGTTTCATGGCTTCAAACCAATCATGGATCCAATAAATAGAAATTGGTTTAATTTCAACTCTCGCGTAGAACCATTAGGGAAATTGTACTAACTAATAGTCTAATACATCAATCCTCGAAGTCGAAGAAGTAGAAAATCCTACAACAATGGCCAAATAAGAAAACGCCTTCAGTGCTCTGATTTGGTGTACAGGTAAACATTGGGGATCTATGAACATTATCACCCAAAGGTCCATGAAGATTTTTTTCTTCTACTGATTATCAACAATGCCTTCACTTTCATTAACAGCAATATATATCTTCAGATAAGAAACTGTGCTGCTAGTTGTTTTGATTATGCTACCCACTCATGGAGGTGGAGTCCATTTGCCTGATCTGAAATCTTTGTAGAAGCTGGAGGTCTTTGAAACAACATAAAAGACTGCATACACAGCAATCATATGGAAACAATGAAAACATGACAGAAAATGGTTCACTTGCAAAATAGCATGTCAGTGTGCGAGTGTGTCTTTTCCTATGTGTGTGTATAAAGAGATAATGTATTGAATTGCTCTGATAAGAAAATAGAGAAACCTGGGATCCCAGGGATGATGAAGTTAGCTTCTTTCAGAACATCATAGAGCTTCCTTTTCTCATTTACCTTGACCCATTTAGAGCCCCTACCTGTGGAATGAAAAGAGAAAAGTTTAAATATACATATAAAATTTAACTCACCTGAAACAATTGATCTTTCTTAAGCATCTACATGAAACTCAGAAAAGAACTGTAAACAACTTGGAAGATAAAATGAACTCTTAAAAGAAATTTAAAAACTTGTTTAAGCATAATGAAGACAGACATGCAACTAGCAGCCAAAAAAAGATAACAAAAAAAAACAAAAAGCACCTATTGAGAGATAATTAGCATAAAACCTCTTCATTTACATAGTGTTATCAAGTCTTCAACTGAAAATACCACAATTCAGATACCTGCAGAGTAGTCATCAATTGCATCCTTCTCTTCATCACTGATGCTTTCAGCATTAGCACCGGCAGTCCCCTCTAGCAGATAACGGAGAAGTTTTGTCTTTGACAGAGAAACTCCAGAACCAGCCTGATAAACCAAGTACAAGAATTGAGAATAAAAATCATCTAAAATCTATCACTAAAGATGCAAATGAAGGGCTTCCAGACAATAATGGTGCTACCTGGTGTTCTAAATTGGCACCAGATAATATTTTTAGCAGCGGGCATTATACCACAAAATGTTGCTATACACTGTAATAGTTTTCATCCGCTTATAGGATTACCATGATCAAACAAAGTTTTTAGATAAAAAGAAAACCAGAAACAAGAACTATTTTTCCATGAAGTTCAATTGAAGGTGCAAGTTCTTTCTATATACAATATAACTTAAATATCTTGAAAATGAATTGGTTACCTCATAGTACAGTTCAACTGCTTCACGCATATAGTTATTTTCTTTATCCCATGGCAGTGGTGGACAACCTTCTGAAAACATGTTTGATAGCTGAGGACATTACAAAGTGGTACAAACAACAAAAGGTGGAGAATGTATTATGCAAAATTCGATATACATCAACAATAAAGACAAAGAGAATAAGGCAATTAACGAATTTTATGCTAAAACAAAAGGCCTCTGAAAATGGATATCATGTCAAGATGAACTGCAAAAATGTCGGTCTCACAGAAGTCCTCAATAAAGTCACTGGACATAACCTCTGCATACAGAAGAAGAACTGGCCAGTGAAGAATATTATTATTATCTAAAACCGGTTTCCTTAATCCAGTAAGTTCTTGAAACATCGCCTTCCCAATCTTCAAGCCTCTATTCTGGATTGCAGAAGCAAGGTCCTACATAAATTCGATGAAGTAAGGAATATGACTTAAGGGTAAACAAACAAAAAGAATTGGTTTCATAGAGTCCAATTAGCAAACCTTAGCCTCTGACACTGCCTTAGAAACTAGAGCCTGGTGCTCGTCTTCCTCTTGCTTCCGTGAATCAATCTCCCCAGCAAGCTTCTTTAGTTCCTTGTTATCTGGGTCCTGCTCAAGTCCCTTTTCACAAAATGATTTTGCTTCATTCAACAAATTCAACACCAATGACGCTTTAGCTGCCCGATAATGTGCCTAAGCAACATGAGATATAGGTTAATTAATTAAACAAATTAAACTAACAACAAAGAAAGACCATCTAAGAACCTGAACATGAAATAACTACCAACCTTAACATTATTTGGGCACAATTTGATTGCCTCCTCAGCATCCATGAGAGCGCGTCTATAATTTCCTAGTAGTAAATTGACATGGGCTCTATTTGCATATAAAATCGAGTTCTCAGAGCTACTTAAAACATTCTGATTTATCGCCCTCGTGTAGCAATCGATAGCATCAGAGTAATGCTTTTTACCCTGCTTAACATACTCATTGCCTCTCTCCTGCAACGCTAATGAAAGAACAATAAACCCACAAATATAATAACAACATTCTCCAACGGAATTTTTTTCAATTAATGTAATAACCTCGAGAAGCTTACTTGAGGCAAGCAAACTAATAAACCCCAAAATAAAAAAATAAAAAACAACAGCTTCTTCGAACATGATGTTTTGTTTGTGGTTGAATTTAGAGAAGTAAATATAACAGAACTCATAAGTAGCTTAAATAAATTCAATCGTATGGCAGGTGTTCGAGGAAATTCCAGAGTGAAAAAAAAAAAAAAAAAAAAAAANAAGTAATAGATAATTAATAAACATGAGATACATAGAAATTATATTTATATAAGAATATAAATCCATTCTGAAGTAATACATAGAAAATGATGGATACTTTAAAAAAGTCTAAATACATTTAGAAAAATTATTTATTTAAAGAAAATATAATGATTAAAATGAGTATCCCATAATTTTATTAAGATAAAGAGTATCGAAATAATTAATGTATCTAGACATAAACGTGTCTAGATTCATTGAATTTAAAATACATAAATTAGAGATAATAGAAGTGATTTATATAAGGATTTTAGAATGACAAATCCTAGAAAATAATTTTATTATTAGAGAAATAAATATAAAAGACATAAATGCCTAAAATAATAATTTGTCCAAGATAAATGCTAAAATAAAATTTTATATAAAAAATAAATTTGGGATTTACATAATTTAATCGATAAGAAGAGTGATAAACCTGGAAATAATTTATCCTTTGATAAAAAATGGAAAAAAGATACTATTAAAGCATTTTAATAAAATGATTAAAGGAATTTATCAAAATGCCCCTTACAGGTTTTTGTGCAAAATTGAGTGAATCAAAGTGTTCAGTGTAGGTGGGAAAGTGTCGTTTTGAAACTTAGTGGGCGGGAAAGTATCTTTTTGTCGAACCTTGGGTGGGAGCATGTTGTTCTCCCTTTTTTTTACTACATGGGAAAAATAAGAAACCCAGAGAAAGCAATTTCTAAGAGGTTGAAACGTGCCCGTGAGTATTTTGGTAATCTTAGGACTTTTGGCCTCCAAAGAGTAAAACCGTCATTTTTCTATCAAGATTAGCAAATATTGGTGTTTTAAGACTATGATTTTTTGGAAGATTTTGGAGTTTCAAAAGTATTTTTTCTTGGCTTTTTCAGAAATGAGCTTTCACACATATTCATCCAAGATATCCAATTAGGTATCGCCCAAGGGGGTCTAATTCAATGAAACATCTCGGCTTAATAGGATTCTTTGAATGCACTAATACTATCGCACCGTAACCCACTAAGATTACCCCATTGAAGTGGCTTGGGTCCGTTGGCCTTTGGAAAGGGAAAATACTACTTACTCTTCTTTACCTTATTGTTCAACTGTAAGCCATTGGTTTGTGAAGCATGCTATATCTTGCGTAGACATGAATTTTGTTATGGAAAGGCTTGTGAAAGGATGTTGGTTGGATCGAAATGAATTTGAAATAAAAGATTGTCATCTCTTGATAGGTTTTTAGCAATGGTGTTGTCGTGTAATAGACTTTTATGGAACAATATGTGACATCTCTTGATGGGCTTTTAGCAATGGTGCACTGTATGATGGGCTTTTATAGCAACACGTGTCATAAGCTTATTAACGAGAGTGACATGAGCTTTTAAAATTGTCTTGGGCTCATATGTCAATAAATGCCAAAATGTTTTACTAACATTAGTACATCATTAGAGGGGTATAATTGTTTTTTGTTTTAGGTATTTGAGGTATCTAGGCCATATTGAAGCACGGTTTGTCAAAATTGGGGGCAACCCTCCTATTTTCCATAGTGATGTGTGGCATTTAAATCAACAAAATTTGTGGGGTTTTATTGTAGATATCCATTTTTGTTGTGTGTGTACAATGTACATAACTAACCGATTAGCTATAATTGTGATTTATAGAGTTTGGTTTGTTTGGTACAACTTTTTTCAGTAGAGTTTATAAGGGTGTTTGTCTAAGTTTATAAGATGGTCAAACCAGCTTATAAACTCTAAAGTCAAGTTGATATGTTTGTTTATAACTTTTTTGGGTAAATTGAGGGGAAGCTAAATTGAGGGGAAGCTACTTTTTTTTTTTCTTGGGTTATAAGCACTTTGCTTATAATCTACTTTGAAAAAATATATTACCACATTACCCTTATTTAATTTTAAAAGAGTAATACTAGTCTTATAAAGAGGCATACAAAGACCCATACAAAGAGTCAAATCTAGCCCTTGAAAGAGGGGAAAAAGAGAGAGAGAAAGAGACAATCATGAATTTCAAGGGCTGGATTTGACTTTTTGTATGGGTCTTTGTATGCCTCTTTGTAAAGCTAGTATTAATCATTTTAAAATTCCATTATAACCTTTAATTTTTTATTTCAAACAACTACCGCTTCTATCACTATTCCATCATAAAACCTTATTTTTATACTTTGACCAAGTATATTACCACATTACCCCTATTTTGACCAAGTATATTACCACATTACCCCTATTTAGTTTTTTTTTTTAATATAATTATAATTCATTATATTTGTTCATTAGTTTATTTTGTATAAAGAATCTAAAAATTATTCATATAAATTTTTAATAAAATATTTCTCTATAAAGTATTTGTTTATTTAATTCTAAAATTATATTATATTGTAATATGATTGAAATATATTTTGATAATATTATAGTAAAAAATTAAGTTAATATAATTTATTATTTGATAAAATAATGTAGTACCCTTTTTAGTTATTTTAATAATAAAATGTACTTACAAGCCACATTTTATCAAACGTGTCAACTACTTATTAATCACTTATGTTAGAGTAGGTGCCCTAGAGCCAATCAATTATTGTAGAATTAGCTCTTTGTAATAATGTTCATTGATCAATAAAAATGTATTTTATTCAATATCGGGTAAATCATATTGGATATATTGATATATGTCCTTAGAATGGTAGAACCGTGATGAGGGTATCAAGTTTTCAAATCTTGATAGTGAGAACCCTATGAGCACCTATGATGGCCATTCTAGAAATGTCCGTAGCCCCAATATTGTTTTGAAGTAAGGGCACAGATAATACGGTAAGGCTATCATAGTATTGAATGACCTTGTCGAAAGGCAGTGACTGATCTCACTTGTTAAGGTTGTTTGGTGACAACCTAGTACAACACATGGGTGCTTGCTGTAGGCAAATTCACTAGACTAACCCACTAGAGGATTCCATATGGATGGTAACCCCAGTGTCTATGGAACAAATCCTCTAACAAATGGTGGTGCATGTAATCTTTAGACTTGAGATCACTGGAGCGCCTTGTGCACCAATTGGTGTAGTTTGACACTAGCCCAACACAGTTATATTCAAAGTTGTCAATACGGTAGTGGCATCAAGGAGTGTATCAAGACTATGGTGGATCGACAGATGATTTATCGCTCCCGGGTACGGGAGAAGTTATCTCACGGCTCAATTCAGTAAATGACAATGACACTAAAACTGTGGCCATAATGGGATTTAGTTGTTGCTCTATCCAGTTTATAATTCCGGTCATTGGTCCAATAACTGAATACATAAATATCGAGAGTAACCAAGGTTGACACTTATTTTGTGCCTCGGTCTCGAAGAAATAACAGATGATGAAAAAATTAAATTGTACGGTAACCATATCGTTGACAGGTAGCTACTTCGCTGACTCTGAATCTATCAAGTGGCCATGATGCCTTGTTAGGGGCTAATCTTGGTCTATGTGTAGTGTGTATTAATCGCGATACTATACACTGCCAATATGATGAGGAGCCTATAGGTCACAAATATAGAAGATAATTTAAGAATCAGTTTATGAAAATAGCGTTTTCATCTTTTTAGGAGAAATGATATTTTGGTAATCTCACAGTGCAATTAAATTTGCTAAGGTTATTGCCTTTATTTAATTTGATATTAAAATTAAATAAGTGAGATTATATTTAAATATGCGTACGCATATATTTAAATGAATTACTGTTATTGTTAAATGTCAATATATTTTATATACATTAATTGAATTGAATTGAAATAATAATAATAAAAATAAAAATATCTAAATGGAGTTGTTTGGACATAGGGGCTGTTTGGGTTAGTGCCTAAGCCTATTTCTAAGTAGAATAGGGTTTCACATGCCCTATATAAGTGCATGTGTTCTATGAATTAAATAACACTTTTAATTAAGTCATTTTTATATTCATTTGATTGAAAAGCTCCAGCCCCTTTCTCTCTACCCCACGACACTTTATTTTGATTAAATCAAATTTATTTGATTATTGTTCTTGATTCTTGAGGCTAAAGATGATCTAGTAAATCCCTATTTAGCTCTTCGGGTTATTTTCGTGTGGACTACCACTGGTTCGATTCTATTTTGAATCGGTAGCGAACCCAGTCAGAGACAAGTTCGAAGGAGCCTCCAAACGAGAGTATGAACTCTAATCTTTACTCTGATCGTTCATATTACTGCAGAATATTTGATTTAACATATTATCTGTAAATTCTGTATCCTAATCTTGGCTTAAAATGGAATCGATCACTGTTTTATTTTTGTTTTCCACTGCCATGTGTTTTGATCGTTTCCTAATAGCTTGTAAGTAGTTTAACCAAACACGTAACTGTTTAAATTTTAAATGCTTAATTATAAGCTCAAATTACCTTATAATTAAGCACTAGCTGTTGATGCAAAAATACACCAACTAGAGTTATGTGTGCGTGATTACAGATAACCAGCAATGAATTAATAGTAAAATGCAGTAAAGTAAATGGTAAAAGAGTTTTTAAAGTGGTTCGGTGAGTTAAACTCTTGAGCCTACGTCCACTGTTTTTGTATTTGCTATGAGAGCCTACAATGACAGTCCTAAAATCATTTGCTAACCCTTTTCTCATCGTTGGAGGGGGTTTATATACAAATTTTATACAAAGGAAAGAGCGAAAATAAAGGGATTACAATTAAATTTGAAATGCAACTCCGATAGTCTCGTGATTGAGCGTTGTAATTGCGCAATGATTGCTGTCGATCTGACACTTTCTTAGATAATCGGGATCTGAAGTTATCTGTGAATTGGTTGAAAAACTGTAAGGATTGGTCGCGACTACTTGTACTAGGTCGAGCTATAACTCGAAG